TCAGTTCATTTCTTTCTTTTGCGCACTGCTTGACACGAAAAGAAGTTGCATCTTTTGCTCATACCAAAATTCTTTTTGTGGTATACAAGTAAATATTATTTGATTTGGTTAAGTACGAGAAAAGGTGAGTACAGTACAAGTGATGGCAAGACTCTGCTGTGAACCTGTCCGTTTATCAATACATGCGCAGAAACAGCTCTCCCTCTAGTTCCCTCTAGGGAGCAGCAGAATAACTATTACATACTGGATCCTTAAACTGGAACCCTTGACTAGTGCCCTAAAGTGTTGACGATACAAGTATCTTAGATACTGTTTCTTATACTTGTAACTGCATCACGATATGGCTCTATTTCCACTCTATTTCTCTATTTCTGCCATGTGTATCTTGAAGAGGCTCCACAACACTTTTTCAAGTAGCCATGGAATAGATTCTCTGAAGGAGCTTATAACCTCACAAATTCACTGCTGCGAAACATTTAGATTCCCTCCAGTACGAGCGGAGTTACAAAAATTTGTCGCAGACTGCAACTGCATTCTTTCTTCTCTCGTACCAATGAAAGAGAAGGAGGGAGTGATGGCACGGGAAAGAAAACTATCATAGATGCCTTTGGAGCTTGAGCACTTTTCCTTTCTTTTTTCGGATACGTGGCTTTTTAGTGCAATTGTGCATGTACGCGTGGACAAGTCAGGGCTTCCCACTTTGGGCCCGGTAAGGACCAAGCGGGTAATGCTCAAATCAGCCAATGGCTGATACTTCGCCTGTGATGCAGTGAATTTTTAAGTTGCAGTGTCTTCTGTCAAGAGAATAGAAAGCAATTTTTAGCTGACTCTAAGAAAGTGTTGTAAATTCCAGGCAAGGCACTGTACTATAATATTTGTGTCGCATGTTCCCGGGAGCCTCAAAAAGTGTTGCAGGGCCCCTACTAATGTACAAGATACTTCTATCGCAACGTCACCATCCGTAACAGGCGGTGTTGGCTGAACATCACTTCTCAGGGTGATACTTTTGCCATTAAGCTACCTGATAAGAAAATTCAACACTCTGCCAATAACGCACACTGATGAAACAGCGAAGCTGTTGGCATAAAAAGAAGCCTTCACTTAGCAATTTATCTCAGCTGGTTGAACGAAGTGGCGGGAGTAGCAGAAGGCAAAGTGCACTCTGCCAATAGCGCACACTGATGAAACAGCGAAGCTGTTGGCATAAAAAGAAGCCTTCACTTAGCAATTTATCTCAGCTGGTTGAACGAAGTGGCGGGAGTAGCAGAAGGCAAAGTGGTGCGAGCATTACCTGTTTCCTATCCACGACGGCCCTTGGGCCACAACTAAGAACAGCTTTGATGTTGAAAAATGCCACGCCTGTGCTGAACATGGAGTATTGCCAAAGTGAAGCTAAAGGAGTGTCCTTTCTAGAGCCTATTGTGAACTCTTTTGGGGCGACCAGTGCAAGGACAGTTTAGCACCCAGTACACCATAAATCATCATAATTTTGCAAAGTTGGGAAGTACGCATTGTGCTATTATTCATCATTCTGCAGAGAAGTATCCACTGCACAACTGTTGGATTTTTTTGTGCACTTTGCGCTGGGGCTAATGATGAGGAATGATTATGACTGAGCCCTTTGTGATCTGTGGGAAGCTTCAAAACACCCACTCATTAAAGAATTCACACTGTATGACACTGAGTGTTATTATGCTCTTCTGCGATGCTATATTACATCTCTTAAAGGGCCCCTAAACACCATTCGATCATCTTTAACACTTTCCAAGTAAACACGCGCATAGCATTCAGAATGCTGTCGTGATCAACAATGCCAAACGTGGCAGCGCTACGAGCTACCCTAAAATTTCAAGAAACAATCCCCTCTCCTTTCTGTGCCTTTTGGCATTCCTCATCGCCTCAGCAATCGCCGTGACGTCAACATGTAATTTACTCATCATCTAAAGAACCTATTTTTTGTCAATTCACAGCTGAGCGCAAAATAAGAGAAGTTCTTTGGCGCAAACAATACCAAAAAACAGATGAGGAAAGAAACAGGCTGCTTCTTTCTTCACATTTTTTTTTCCTTTACAAATATGTGTGCTTGCTGATTAATGATCATCCTCCTCGCAGGGTGAGGAGCCCCACTTGGCCAAGGGGAGAGACAAGATGAGGAGTGAAGGAAAGAACAACCCAAGCAAGGGCGCCTTCACCAAACAAGTGCCACTCCACTGTTACGCCAACATCACAAAACATTTTTATGGCCACGCATTCGCTGTTGACTCGTGCACAGCTGCAATACCCCTCCACAACCAAATTTCGACTGCTCGGTAGTTTAGGGGCCCTTTATTGACATGGCCCGACATGACGCCTGTATAAAGCCTTCTTGCAAAAAAGTTTCAAGCATCAGCATAGCCCCGTGGCAGAATACTCAACTGGCAACAGCACAAAGATTTAGAAATTTACAGAGGCTTAATGCCAATGCCACAGTGAGCCGATCACCTGAAGTAACTTAACGTAAGTACAGGTTTTCTAGCCTCCATTGAATCTGCGTCTTTCAGGTAGTGATGCAGAACTATCAACGGTACAATGAGTATCATTATCAATGGTATAAGAAACTATCGGTAGAGCCATAAATAGCAAGTTTCGTAGTACTATCAATAGTACAAACACAGGTGTAACTTCCACTTTGGTATAAAGTCAACTGTGCTATCTCATTGCAACATAAAATTGATTCCCCGATAGTGTGGTACAGTTTAAAATTGAACCGACGAAACCCGCACTCACGAATTTCCCTTCCCAATGAAAAAAAACTTTTATTCCCCAGCAAATACCCACAGCATTGAATGTTATCATTAACCCAATTTCACGAATTATTTTGGCCATTAAATCTATTTTAACCCCATTTCTCATGAAAGAAGAATGAAAAAGCAGCAATTCCCTTCAGACTTTGAACCCCACGAGAGGGATTTTTGTTAGAACGTACGATCAAACACAATTCAATCAAAACACCTACGTGCCATTTATTTCTTTATTTTTATTTCATAGTACCCCTAAATGCCCGAAGCAGGCTATTGCACAGGGCCTACGTGCCATTTATTTGTTTCATATTTATTTGATAATACCCCTAAAGGCCCGAAGCAGGCTATTGCACAGGGCAACAGACACATGAATCAAACGATGTACGTTTACACGGAGTTTGAAAGGAACTATACAAAATAAGACATGTGAGCTATGTAATAAAATGTTGCCCCGCCACAGTGGTCATGGCACTCAGACTGCTGGCCTGAAAGTCACATAATTGAATACTGCCCGCTGCATTTTCTATGAAGGCAGGAATGCTTGGGGCCCGTGTAAATTTAGGTGCACGTTGAAAAACACCAGATAACATGATGCTCGAAATTTCCGTAGCCCTACCCAACGGTGTCTCTCACAATCATATCTTGGTTTCCCTATGTAAAATGCCAGGTAATGTAGGTGCCATTGGTGGGGGGCCTAGCTTTTCTTAGACTAGTCTGCACGTCGTGCCAATGCATGGAATGACGGACTCGCAACCGGTGGCATTCTTACATACTAGATAGTGCTAGAGGCGGTGGTGGTTGTTTTGGCTATTTCATAGTTTATGTGATAGCGTCAAGGGATAGCACTGATCACTGCCTTCCATCATTCTCTTTTGCCCTGCTGAAACAGCCAGTGCATTTGTTCCCTGTGTGACTGCATGTCTGTAGGCGGTCATAATTTCACGCGACCATCCATCTGGCCTGCGTCGCCAGAACTTGGTGCCTTTGATGTCTGGACCGTCGGGCTGTCCTTGCAGAACATTCAAACAATGCCATGGAAGTTTCTACGTGCCCTTACAACATATTGAAGCATTGCAAAATCTTTTTTAACTTTATGAAATTCTAGACTTAACGAAATAATCTTACCATCCCCATCACTATGTTGATTTGAATTTCAACTGCATATGGTGAGCAGGAGAAACAGGTGGAAGGGCAAGAATGTTGACATTCAGCAGAATGGTTGGCCGACATATACCTAAGCAGAACTGATCAGCTTAAGGAAACCTATTACATGTGGTGGAACCGTGAATCTGCGAACTTATATTGCATTTTGCGATTTCAATTTAAAGAAAAAAAACTATCAAAAGCCAGGTACTTATTAGTGAGGTACAACAGGTTACTTTTGAATATGAATTTGTTTGTGGACATGATGCGCTATTTAGTATGATGTGCTGTTTAATTTCGTTCATTCATACATTTTATATCCTCAAAGGTCCCAGTTGGGATATTACATGAGGGAGTGGGTGATAGAAAGGCTATTAATATAAGGGTAGTAATGATGGGGTAGTTTCAATGAGCCACTTGAATGCTTGGGTGTCGGTGATGGTGGCGACTTTGGAGGGCAGGTCATTCCAGTCTCGGGCTGTGCGTAGGAAAAACGATTGGTGAAAGGTGACAGCACGGGCTTCCATTGGATAAACGGCGCTACAGTGACTGTGGCGGGATATTCGATGGGCTCTTCTGATATATGGGTTATCCAAAAGCAAGGAATGGAAGAACTTTATCATGATAAAGGTCAAGACGTGCAATTTGGCGGTGTTAAACCAGATCAGATAAGCTAATCTTTGCTTTTAGTGCCGAGATGCTTGAGGTGTATGAATAGTTAGATAGTATGAATCAGGTCGCACGGTTCGGGACAGACAACGCGCATACTCTAGCTTTGTTCGGACAAAGGTTTTAAAGGCACTTTCAATAGAAGGGGGAGCGATGAGGGGTTACGGCGTAATTACCCTAGAGTACGATTGGCAGAATTCATGTGGTTAATGTGACTGTTAAAATGATTGCTTATATATTAAGCGAACTGAGTACTGCTGATAGTAGGCTATCGCAATATCACCACCCAAAAACAGCGTAATTATTATCTTCATAGAACGATTGCTTGAAATGTCTATTGATAGTAGTACTATCGATAATTTCTCCACACTATCGACAATTTCAAACAAACTATTTTCGCAATCTTACGCGCAATGTAGGCAGTAGAACTGCGCCTCCCCGGGCATGTCGTAGTCGGCCTCCTGGTTGAGCAGTCTCTCGGCGTTATCCGGTTGCATGTCGACGTGAATTTGGTCGAGGTCTTTCATCCTACGCTTCGTCTTGTCCCTCTTGTGCGCCGCGGTGTAGCCCTTGTGCGTCTTTTTGCGCGAATAACGAGTCATACTCCCGAGGAACAGGTCAACTGCGAACTCTCACGACGTGAAAGTGGTGAAAACTAGAGTAGGGTTAAAGTGAGCTAGAATCAGGGTTACCAGATGGTGCGAGCCTCAAACCGCCAAATTGGACTCCGAGGTAGCCCAAACATAGCCAAACGCGAAAATTTGAAGTAGCCCAAAAATAGCCAAAATCAGCAAATGTATGCGTGAATACGTCGTATTGCGTAATATTTTTTTTTGCTATTCAATCCACAATGATTGAGCGATGGCTGCAGAATCTAGACAAAAGTTTATTGTCACTTAATAACAAACAAATGAATGGAATCACAAAGAAATATAGAAGCATATTTACAAAAAGTAGAAATAGGTAGGGTTTACAAAAAAGTAGATATATACAAAAACTCATGAAATAGAAAATACAACAAAAGAGATGAAAGTGGAGAAGCGAAATAACTTAAACATGATAACTTAAACACTTGATTTGGATGCCGAGGCACTGCTCGGCCCATACAAAACGGTGGAGTTAAAACGCGACAAAAATTCTCTTCCCGGTTTGAAATCTTTGCAGCAGCCAGCGTTCCTCCCCAGACCAAATTTTACATGGAGCAGCGCTTCTAAGGTCTCGTTAGACATCCTGTTTCGAATGTCAGTTTTAGTAAGCGAGACCTGGCTGAACACTCGTTCAACAGCAGCGTTTGACACTGGTAGTGACAGCAAAGAGAGCGCCAGCTTTGACATCAGTGGAAACATCGAGTTCCCGGCAACATTTTTTGCATTGTGTACGGTTACCCAGAATTCGGTTATGGAGTGGGTACCCTCTGCCAGATCGTCGACTCTGGTTTGGAGTAGGTGATACTCAGATTCCATTGTTGAAATACAACTTGGCTCTACAAAAGCATTGAATGAACGATGCACGAAATCGAAAAAGTATTTCTTAATGCTCTTTGGCTCGAGAAGCTTGAGGTCACTGAGAAGCTTCATGTTCGCGGGAAGCCGCTTGAGCACACTCCGTATAGATGCTATCACAAACTTGCGGCACCTTTCCAACAAACAAACTTTTTCACCTTCGCTGAGTGAAGACTTCTCAAAACTGTCGAGAAAAATAACGCCCAAGCTGCATGCCCTCACATGCAATATGTGCTGCTCCCACTCCGCATTGTCAGGTTCTGCATAGCCAGGCATAACAACTCTTGTCATTAAAGCTTTAACAAAAGAAATCAATTCTTCATTGAGTCTCACAGGGTCCGGGGCCTCGCACTGAAAGAGCTTATTCATTCGCTCGAATTCATCGATTATTGGGCTTAGAAAACGGAGAAAAAGTAAATTTTGCTCATCAGCGTACATTTCGCTGAGTAATCTTGCTGCGTAGCAGCGTTCCTTACTTTTCATCGCATCAAAGTGAGATCGCAGGGCAGCCCACTGATTCAAGACTGATCTCAAGGCAGGCGCAATGCTAAGCCATCTCGTGGCACAAACGCCTATGAGCTTATTCGGGACATCGCCCGAAGTAATGGCGGCGTATGTTACTCTATATTCTTGCTGCCTTTTCGGTGAATGGGCGAACCAGTTGAAGGTTTCGCGTACTAGGTAGTCAATGTGCGTGGGAAGTACATCTATTGCCTCACTACAGGCAAGCTGTAAAGAATGGCACACACACTTCACAAGAACAAGCCGTGCATTTTCTGCCTTCATTTTTGTGTAAAAGCTGTTGTGCTGCCCACACATGACGCTCGCTCCATCTGTCCCGATACCCACACAACATTTGATGTTCAGTTTGCAAGCATCTAACAGCGCCTTCAACTCAGAAAATAGCCCTTCCGTGGATGCATCGGTCACTGGCACCAAGCCGAGAAAGGCTGTAAGAAAATCCCTTTTGCTGCGAGAAAAAAAGCGCGCCACGACGGCTAGCTCCTTCGTGCACGAGACGTCCGTGCTCTCATCCACAATCAATGAATATTGTGCAGCAGTCATGTCCTTCAAGAGCTCTTCTCTAAATGTTGGCCCCAGTACCTTTGCCACTAGCGCAGCGCACTTCGTTCTCCCCAAGGTGACGGCCGACGCCAACACCGAATCGCTGAAGCACCTACTGATCACGGGCGTCAAGTGGTCCGCCTTCAGGAAGCTTCCGTGTACAGCCAAATGAGCAGCCAAGCGCAGCTCTGCTACCTTGAGGTCGTCAGAAGAACTGGAACATGGCTCCCTGGGTCTTCTGTCCACAAACGATGCCAGAGGCCCCGCTGCTGGACCAGCGGAACGCTTCATGTTGTTTGCATGCTTGACCCTGCAGCTTTAGGTCTTGAACGTGGGGCCGCAATTCCACCTTGCATGCTCGGCAATAGGCCATATCGCCTGAATTGGTGGCGATAGCCAGTCTGCACGTTCAGAAACAAACAAAAAATAGTACTGTACTCACTGCACATATGCATATGCCTCAAATTTCAATTTTGCGTATGAATGGAACATTTTTTTTTTCTAAACAGGGCATTAAATTACATACAAAAGCATTCTGACACAATTTGTGCCGAGGATAGAAAATATATTACCTTTGAAGTCCGGCTCCTTCTCCCATTCCTTTTTGTAGTTGCGCGCGTACTTGGCCCACTTGCCCATCCTGGAGGTCGTCTCTTCAAGCTCAGAGCCTCAGACCCGAGACGCACTGCTAGCACTCGGCAAGAAGCGCGAATTTATACCTCCAAATACAATGATCGAAGAGTGTTCAGACGTGTAATGACACGAAGAGCTGTAGTCAACAAGCCCCGCATTCAGTGGTGTATCCAAGGAAGCGGGGGGGGGGGGGGGGGGTCTGTTCGCCCCCTCAGAGCCTCAGACCCGAAGCGCAATGAAATTTAAGTGGACGAAATGACAAACTGCTACCGGCAGGGTCACTGAACCTGCAACCTTCGGAAGGGTGCTCCCCACGTGTCATAGCTTTCACAATCATGTACCCCCTTCCCCTTTTCGGGAGACTTGAATATATGCGCCAATGACTGACCAAGCGCCACCCCCCCCCCCCTCGACGTTTTTTTTTAAATCTGTTCTCCGCCTCATAATCCTGCAGCAGCGGTTCCTGTGAGTCTTGTGCACGATTTCTTAGTACTTGTACATTGTGATGTCTGAGGGTCACATTCCGGGTTGTCGCAAATTGTTGGGGTATTTGAAGAACGTCTTTCCACTCCTGTCATAACACGTGCAATGTCAGACGGACACCCTCCGATTCAGTAAAAACTGTAAATGCTCGCGTATTCAACAAAGCATTTCATAAGAAGCACAGGTGTGCATTCTACTTAGAGGCACTTCCTCTGCTATCTTGGATTTTGGTCTCGGACTGAGCAAGAAGGCCCCCTCCACATTTTTCTTATTATCTTTCACTGTGTGGTGCGGGGAAGGGGAGGGGGTGCTTGCTCGGCATTTTACGGTAGTAGAAGTCAAGAAAGTCTAGAGAAAACGTAGCCATCAACACGGTTTCAAACTGAAGACATGTGAAGCCTTTTCTTGGGCTACGTACTCCAGGTGCAGGGATCGTTCAACACATTGGAATGTTTTGATGGCGGGATACGCATGTAAGCCTTGGCGTTCTTTGTATAGAGCTTTTTAACAGAGAGAACCATCACCACCTTTCTTAGCTTTTGCAGGGGAGTACAAAAGCTGACATGGGGCCACGGTACTGCATTTTTGGGGGGTCACGCATGTTAACAGCCAAAAGGGGCTTATGGCGGCGGCCAGGGGGCCGTCGTTGACAAGGTGCATTAGAGTTCCTAGAGAGTTTTAGTGCCGGGGACCCCCAGACGCTCGCGTACGCATGCTCCTGTTTTCCTTTGTATTCTCCGTGGTTGCAGCTGCTGGGGGTGCCCGGCGGCTGGAGGTACAAACGAACGCAAGAGCGTGCGTGCGTAAACTGTTTGGGTCCCCGATACTAAAATTTTCTACAGTTTGTAGCTTTTTGGAATTTTTGCCTAGTCGAGAGCAATGTAGCCCAAAAATAGCCACATAGCCAAACAGAAAAATTCGACGCCAACTCGAACAAAAAGTAGCCCAATTTGACTCTTAATAGCCCAATCTGGTAACCCTGGCTAGGATAGCTCACTTTAGTAGGGTCAGCGCCTTCTCTATAACATTCAGTGCCTGAAAGAAGGCCCTCTCACGGCCGTCGGCGCTAGTGTTTCCCCGCTCGCCGCTAATGGGTAGTGGCGCTCTGTAAACATGGTTTCTTAGCTTGATACAAACGTATCAAGCTAAGTTTTGGAAGAGCAGTGAAAGTGGAAAGGAGACAAGATGAGCAACTACAGAAAAATTTTTATCCAGAAAGGCTAATTGAAATAGCCACTAAACAAATTGAGAAAGTAATCACGGAGGATAATAAGACAGTGTGGACATACACGAATCTAATTAGACTCTTTGAGCTAGAAGTGTGGCAGCTTGGGCTAGTTGGTATGGCATTACGATAGTTCTATAGTTCTAGCGCGAGAACAAAACGACGACACACGTGTCTCGTGTCTTTCGTGTCCTTCTTGTCTCTGTGTCGTCGTTTTGTTCTCGCGCTATAACTATCGTTTGAGCTAGAGCTTGCTAAGACGCGTGACAAGTCACCCCGGAAAAGAAGACATAAACCCAAAAGTTGGTGGGATGAGGAAGTTAAGAGAGCCATAGCAAAACGTCAGGAAGCCTCTAGGGAACACAGACATGCTAAGCAGCGGGGTGAACCGACAGATGATGTTGAAAGAAAATGGGCAACCTTTCTAAGCTGTAGAAGGGATGCATCCCTTCTGATCAATGAAAAGATAAAAAGGAAGGGAGCTCAGTGGCTGGCAGAAGTACATAAAAAAGATAGAAAAGCAACTGCGAAATTTTGGAACCATCTAAACTCCCTAAGAAATGAGACGAGCCTAGAGCAGAGCTTTATAACTACAGCCCGAGGTGCTAGGCTAGAAGGGGACGAAGCTATCGAATATATAAGAACAAGGGTAACAGAAAAATTTCAACAAAGAAGTACTTTATGCACCACAATAGACAAGGACGAATCAAGTGGTGCAATGGCTCCATTTTCACAACAAGAGTGGGAAAGGGCTGAGAAAAGGGTTCCTAGTAGTACATCAACAGGCCCAGATGGCATTCCAATTAGGCTGATAAAGACATTAGGTCCGAAGTCTAAGCAGGCTTGGAGAGAGGCAGTGAGTACAATAATAATCGATGGTGAAGTTCCCGATGGATGGAAACTTAGCAGGATGAGCATGATCTATAAAGGAAAGGGGGATAAAGCTGACACAAACAACTACCGTCCTATAACAGTGACATCAGTGGTCTACAGGCTGGCGATGCAGATTATAAAGGAAAAACTGCAGGCGTGGATAGAGGATGAAGTGGTGCTGGGGGAACTGCAGAATGGGTTTCGGAAACACAGGAGGTTGGAAGACAATCTGTTCTCACTGACGCAGTGCATCGAAATAGCAGAAAAAGAACACATGCCCCTGTGGCTAGCATTTTTGGATATCAAGAGATCGTACGATAGCGTGGTTCAAGAGGAATTGTGGGGAATACTGGACACACTAGGCGTGGAACATGTAGTCAATAATCTTTTAAAGGGGGTCTATAAAGGTAACAAGGTAGTTATAAAGTGGGAAAAACAGGTATCCAAGCCTGCAGAGGTAAAACAGGGGCTTAGGCAGGGGTGCCCCCTGTCACCCTTACTATTCATGATGTACCTACAAGGATTAGAGGCAAAATTAGAGGGAAGTGGACTGGGCTTCAACCTCTCTTTAGTCAAACAAGGAAAACTTATTGATCAGGCACTACCAGCATTAATGTACGCAGATGATATAGTGCTAATGGCCAACAACAAGGAAGGTTTACAGAGATTGATGGGCATCTGCGGTAATGAGGGAGATAGGTTAGATTTTAGATTCAGTATTTATTTATTTATTTATTTAAATACCTTAAGAGCCCAGAGGGCATTACATAAGGGGGGATACATACAAGAGGTTACTATAGCATTAGTAAAACAACATGTCAGGGAGTAATACTAGTAATCAAACTGACCGATAGCCCAAGCAACATTACTAATAACACAATAAGCAAAAAACAAAAGTAAGCAGCTCACCATAACAGGAAACATATTTCAAGAAATAGCAATAAACATTCTCTAAGCATGCGTTACACAATAAATGCCAATGGTGGTTACAAATTATTGCCAACTTCTAAGTAAGTAGGAAAAAATCAGCAGTCATGATTTTCAATGACAACGAAGGTAGTGAGCTTGGAATACAGGAGGTCATGCTAGAGATAACTGATAAATACAAATATCTGGGCGTATGGATAAGCAATGGGACCGAGTATCTGAGGGAACACGAAATACACGTGACGACTAAAGGTAACAGGAATGCAGCAGTGATGAAAAATAGGGCACTGTGGAATTACAATAGGTATGATGTTGTGAGAGGAATATGGAAAGGGGTCATTGTTCCTGGTCTGACGTTCGGCAATGCGGTCTTGTGCATGAGATCAGAAGTTCAAGCAAGATTAGAAATTAGCCAACGTGGAATAGGTAGGCTTGCTTTAGGAGCTCACGGGAATACACCAAATCAGGGAGTACAAGGTGATATCAGATGGACATCATTTGAGGGCAGGGAAGCTAGCAGCAAGATAAAATTTGAGAAGCGATTGAGAGAAATGAAGGAGGAGCGTTGGGCTAGGAAGGTTTTCAGCTACTTGTACATGAAGAATGTCGATACAAAATGGAGGAAGCGAACTAGGAAGTTGACGGGTAAATACTTAGAAAACAGCAGGTGGCCAAACCAAAAAAAATTACGGCATATTCACGGGGTGAATGATGATGAATGGGCGAAGCTCCGGAGGGATTCATCGGTAAACTGTGAATCTTCCGTGTAATTCGCCCAGTCGATCATTATGTAAAGACGTGAGAAACGCTGTGTGTGTATATACACAAATCAACTTTTATTTGTTCTTAGACGATGGATGGCTTGCGATGTCCCTTGCCTCGCGCGCTCGCACATCGGGATTCTGTCTGCGAGCGCGCGCTGCTGCCGCCTTGCGCTCTCTCTGCTGTGCAGCCTTATCCATCCGGCGACTCCGAGCGCGCGCCAACAGCGAACGGATTTTATTACAACGCTCCCCCTAGCGTACGTCGCCGCACTAAATCGAACGATTGACTTAAACCAATGACACGCGCCATATATGACATCATTCCTATTTTATAAGATCTCGCGTCTTTCATCAACTACAAGTACCGCTTTCTAGTTTATAACATCTTGCATCTTGTCATCGATGGATAGATGGATGGATGGATATGGCTGTACCCTTTAGATCGGGCGGTGGCTAGCGCCACCAAGCCGTAATATATAATGAACCAAAAACTATATTTATTTTTTTTCCTTAAAAAAGAGTTTGAGGATTCGTACTTTGCAGTGAAGTGTTTAATTTTCACTCGCGCCTTGACTTTAGCCACCAATCAGACAACCTCCTTCTAGTGAAGTCTACCCGCTTAAAGTTTATTTTGCCCTCCCGGTCCCTAAACCCCAGTGCTTTGAAAAACTCTGCGCCATCATCCTGAACTATAGGGTGAAGCCCTTTACAGAACATTATCGAGTGTTCGGCAGTTTCTTCTTCCTCTCCACACGCACTGCATACTGTGTCTACCCCTTCGTATTTGGCCCGATATGTCTTGGTTCGCAGTACTCCCGTTCTGGCCTCAAACAGTAGAGAACTACCCCGAGTATTATCATAGATCCTTTCCTTGGCGATTTCCTGCTTAAACGTTCGATCATCAGCTACAAGTACCACCATCTAGTAAACACTACAAGAACTAAACGAGAGGTGACTACATACAGGAGACGGTACCGCCATCTAGTAAACACTGCAATAACTAAACTAGAGGTGGCTACATACAGGGGACGGTACCGCCATCTAGTGAACACTGCAAGAACTAAACTAGAGGTGGCTACATACAGTCTACAGGGGACGCACAGCCCACGCCCTAAGGAGCTTCGCCCCTAAAAGAACTATCGGTTAAGAAGAAAGTGAAGGAAACGGAGACTGACAGGTGGAGAATGGGCATGATTAAGAAGTCCGCACTAGAGATCTATCGAACTTTTAAGCAGGAAATTGCCTAAGAAAGGATCTATGATAACACTCGGGGTAGTTCTCTACTGTTTGAGGCCAGGACGGGAGTACTGCGAACCAAGACATATCGGGCCAAATACGAAGGGGTAGACACAGTATGCAGTGCGTGTGGAGAGGAAGAAGAAACTGCCAAACACTTGATAATGTTCTGTAAAGGGTTTCACCCTACGGTTAAGGATGATAGCACAGAGGTTTTCAAAGCACTGGAGTTTAGCGACAGGGAGGGCAAAATAGACTTTAAGCGGGTACACTTAACTAGAAGGAGGTTATCTGATTGGTGGCTAAAGTGAAGGCACAAGTAAAAATTAAACCCTTCACTGCAAAGTGCGAATCCTCAACTTCACTATATAAAGAAAAAAAATGTAAATCTAGTTTCTGGTTCATGAAGTATTACGTTTTAGTGGCGCTAGCCACCGCCCAATCTAAAGGGTACAGCCTTATTCATCCATCCATTTATCCATCATCACAGCAACGGGTGGTACCAGCCAACGCCTCCTCTAGAAGATGCCTGCCGCATGAGAAGAAAAACGGCTGTCACACCCTTTCCCTTTTTTCAGAATGTTCTTTGTCGCTAGCGTCACCAGTGGCGGACGGTGCAACAACGCAACACTTTGCATAGCCTCCAAAATAGCGGTGTACAGTTGCAGGTCTCGAACAACTCTCGACTGACGCGCCCCTATGGGCCGCAGATGAAATACGCTTAGCTGGTACCACCTAGAGGTGTGCGCCGAGGAGATTTCGATCAGCGGTGGCGTGGGGGTCGTCCGGAGTCGGCGGCGGCGGCGCACGCCGGTTATTTTATCGGCGGCGGCGTGCGGTCAATTTTTGTCGGCGGCGCCGGCGCCGGCGGCGCGGAAACCGAAACTAAAAATTCAAAAGGCTGTTCTGGCACAGGTTACTGAATTAGTTGGAATTCAGAAATGTTCATTCAAATAGCATAAAGGACGCTACACAGATGTGTCAAAATCACGATGA